CTGCCCCCCGCCCCCCCGCCTTCCTGCTGCCACCTCTGCCCTCGAGGCCCTTCCTGCGCCCTCGCCCTCTTCTCTCCGGCGGTGGCTTTGGAGATGGGCGAAGGGTGAGGCAGTGTTGGCCCCAGGCGCCCTGGGGGCAGAGGGGAGCCGGCCCTGTCCTGGGGGGAAAGCAGAGCTCAGCCAGAGCAGGGGAGCGAGCGGAGTCTGCGGGACAGACAGGCAGGAGGGAGAGCAGCCTTGCCTCCCCAGCGCTTGGCTTTGGAGGTCTAGACGCTGTGACCTGCTGAAAAGCAGCCAGGACATGTGCTCCGAACCGGACATTTTCCGGCCCCTGCATCTTGACTCTCCTACCTCACACCCCTTCCCTTCCTTCCTCACCGACCACTAACAAAAGACCTACGGTTCCAGAAAACTTGGTGGAGCGCAAGGACACAGGAGCAAAACCAAGCCTGAGACTTGAAAACACGGAGGAACTCGGGGCAGGAGTGGGTGGGGTGACCAGAGCTGCTGGAGACCCGCGGTTGGTGGTTTCCTCCCCTGCTTCCTCCTGGGGGTTTGCGCCTCGCGGGCGGGGTGGGGGGTAATCTTTCCTGTGGGGGGGCATGGATGTCTTTGGTGTTTGTTCCTTGAATTGTGACATCCTGTAAGGAGGCAGAATGATTCCTGCTAAAGGGAATTCCTTCCATGGTACCCCTCCAAGTCTGCACGCAGCCCCTTGCAGCTGAGGGGCCCGGCAGCGCTATGCCAGGCCCTTCGTCCAGCTTGTCAGTGTCCCCCAGAGACGCTGCCCACGAAGCTGTCCCTCAGGCGAGTGGGCCAGCCCTGAGCCCAAGCAGGTCTGCCTCTCTCTTCCTTCCCACGCTTTATAGCTAGAGCTGCCTTCATCCTCAATACTGGCTTCGGCTGCTGGCATGGCCTCCACAAGGTATTCTTGCCTCAGTTTCCCAGCTGACAGGTGATGCTGCCCTCTCCTGGTACCACCCAGCAACGCCCCAAATCCTGCTCCAGAGGCTCCCTCCCACTTCATCTGCTTGCCCCCCACTTTCTCCTGTCGCAGTAGCTCCCCTTTCCTTTTCTGGGCAGGATTTTCTCTCCACTCTCTCCCCTTCCTGGGCTTGGTAAACCAGTCCCTAATCTCTTCCCACCCGATTGGAAGGTGTGTCCCTCCCAGACACTCAGACACGCCTCACAGCCTCCTCCAGGTTTCCATGGTTCCATTGCTCAACAGTTTGCCGAGGGTAACCATTAACCTGCCCTAACTAGCTTCCCCACCTCTCTCCATAGAGGGGGCTCTCCAGCCATTGTTCAGCAGAGCCAGGTTACCCCACCATCTTTCCTAAAGTCTTGGGTGGGATCTCCCCATCTCGGTACCCAGGACAAAGCTGGGAGGAATGTGTATCTGAAGGGATCTGTTTCTTAAAGGTATACATTTTATTTATTTCTGTTCACAATCTATCTCCTTGCTTCTCCTACACTCACACACACTTAAAAGTTAGCTTCATGGAGCTCAGACTTAATTGTGTTCATTGCTTTGAGTCCACCACCCAGAGTAGGACTATATAGCTGCTGTAGGAATGAACGGCACCCCTCTGTCCTTACCGGGTGTGTGCCCAGGGGTGGGGCATGTCCCCAAAAGAGTGTAGGTGTTCTTATCAGGTCTACTCTGTCAGAATTGGGTGCAATTCCCACGCTTTCACTTCGGGGTGGGGTGGGCCTAAAATGATAATTTAGGCCCTGTAGTGCCCCCGTGGGGTGTTCATACACTGTACCCAGGAAATCGGCAGAGGAGGTTGAGATACGAGTCTCACTTCTTTCTTTTTTAAAAAATATTTTTATTGATTTCAGAGAGGAAGGGAGATAGAGTTAGAAACATCAATGATGAGAGAGAATCATTGATTGGCTGCCTCCTGCACACACCCCCACTGGGGATCGAGCCTGCAACTTGGTCATGTGCCTTTGACCGGAATCGAACCCGGGACCCTTGAGTCCACAGGCTGACACTCTATCCACTGAGCCAAACCAGCTAGGGCGAGTCTCACTTATTTCTGCTTATTTATTTATAACACATAGCTCTTACTACGTTTGCCAGGCACTGTTCTAAGCTCTTTATAAATAAACCAAGAGGAACAAATATTAACTTAGAGTTGTTGACACAGTTGAATTATTGTTGCTTATCTCCACTCTCCAGAAAAAACAATGCGCCTCTGGCCCTTTAAAGTCGTTCTCCTCCCCCATTCCCCCCTCCCCCGGCAAAGCCCCCAGAACAGTTTCCTAGGCCAGGACTCGAGCTCGGCTTCCGGCCTCCTCTCAGGCTCCACCCCGCGTTAATCAGATCCCGGAAACCCTGGGGCAGAGGCCCTGGGCTGAGAGGCGGCCGAGGGCGGGAAGTTTGAACGTCCTGGCACCACCCATTTAAGAGCAGGCCAATCAGCGTCCAGCCTTCTTAGCGACCGCGCCCCCCTCCCCCTCCCGTCCTGCTGGCTCTCTAGGCAGGATCCGGGTCTCTCCGACCAATAGCGATTAAGGGGGTGGGGTCTCTACGCGCGCACCCGTCCTGGCGTCCGCGAGCTCCTCCTGCAGGCTTGTGGTTGGTAGTGGCTCGGTCTCGCGCACGTCGAGGTCCCGGGGACAGAAAAGGCGGGAAAACTCCGCAAGTTGTCCGCCTGTGGGGTAGGAAGCCTAGAGCGCGGGCCCGGCCTTGGGGCGTGGCTGGCAGGGGTGGGAGAGGAGGCTGGCACAGCTCGCCCACGCGGCCCGCAGACCTTCTCCATCCCAGTGCCACCTTGGCGTGACAGGAATGTGGGGGGCGGGGGTTCCACAGACTGTCCGTCCTTAAAATACTGAGAGGTCGCCCTCGAAATGCCCCAGATGACGGAAATAAATGTGACCTCTCCTCGCCTCAGCCCTCCCAGACTGCCCTGTGCATTTGCGCCCGCCTCGCGGTGAGCGCTCGCTCCTGAACCGCCTTCATTTTCCGCAGCGCAGAGCCTCCCTCCCCATGGC